GATCCTTGAGGTTGTTACTCTACGCCAGTCGTACTTCTCGCCCCTCACTGTCACTCTGTCACTCTCTCACACCTGTTTGTCAGGTAAATCCTTATCCATGCTAATGCGTTCCCGTCTACTCCCGCCTGCCTCTCGAGTTTGTATAGTAACCTCCTGTGATGTACTGCATCAAAGGCTTTTTGGCAATGCAGGTATATGCAACCTGCCCAACCTTCTCTGTCTTTCCTTATTTTCGTTACCTTATTATAAAACTCCAGGAGGTTAGTCAGGCATGATTTTTCTTCCTTAAAACCATGTTGATGTTTGCTTAATAACCTATTTCTCTCTAGGTGTGCAACTAGTCTTAACCCTTATAATTCTTGCAAGTACTTTGCAAGGGGATGCTTATGATCGACACTGGTCTGTAGCTGAGTGCCTCTTCTCTATCTCCCTTCCTGTCGATTGGCACCACATTACCCCAGGATAAGTGAGTATGTACTCACCTATTTGCACTCACCTATTTGTGCTTGCGGGAGTTGAGCTCTGGCTCTTTGGTCCTCCCTCTCAACTGTCAATCAACTGGTGTACAGGTTCCTGAGCCTACTGGGCTCTATCATATCTACATTATAAACTGTGTATGGAGTCAGCCTCCACCACATCACTGCCTAATGCATTCCATCTGTTAACTACTCTGACACTGAAAAAGTTCATTCTAACGTCTCTGTGGCTCATGTGGGTACTCACTTTCCACCTGTGTCCCCTTGTTCACGCCCCACCCGTGTTGAATAGTTTATCCTTGTTTACCCGGTCGATTCCCCTGAGGATTTTGTAGGTAGTGATCATGTCTCCCCTTACTCCTCTGTTTTCCAGTGTCGTAAGGTGCATTTCCCGCAGCCTTTCCTCGTAACTCATGCCTCTTAGTTCTGGGACTAGTCTAGTGACATACCTCTGAACTTTTTCCAGCTTCGTCTTGTGCTTGACAAGGTACGGGCTCCATGCTGGGGCCGCATACTCCAGGATTGGTCTTACATATGTGGTGTACAAGATTCTGAATGATTCCTTACACAGGTTCCTGAACGCTGTTCTGATGTTAGTCAGCCTCGCATATGCCGCAGATGTTATTCTCTTTATGTGGGCTTCAGGAGACAGGTTTGGTGTGATATCAACTCCTAGATCTTTCTCTCTGTCTGTTTCATTAAGTACTTCATCTCCTATTCTGTATCCTGTGTCTGGCCTCCTGTTTCCACTGTGTGTGTGTGTGTGTGTGTGTGTGTGTGTGTGTGTGTGTGTGTGTGTGTGTGTGTGTGTGTGTGTGTGTGTGTGTGTGTGTGTGTGTAATACATCCTGGCCAGGTGCAGGATGCTGGTCAGAAATAATCTCAGTGACATCACTGTCACTTATACCAGCCACTGTCACCTACACCAGCCACTGTCACCTACACCAGCCACTGTCACCTACACCAGCCACTGTCACCTACACCAGCCACTGTCACCTACACCAGCCGCTTGGTAAACATAGCTCCCTTCAATAAAACACGTAAAACAAACTAGGGGAAAACGCGACCCCTAGGCCTAAAAAACGAGCCTAGCATAGCCAAGGCCTAAAAAACCGAGCCTAGCATAGCCAAGGCCTAACACAACCGAGCCTAACTCAGTCCACCCGAAAATGTAAACGATTTTAAGAATCAGAAAACGAGGAATGTTGAACGATTCTCATCTCTCAAACCACCAGAAAAGTTTATCACTGTCCAGACAAAATATATCAGCTAATATTCCCCTGTTTAGATAGTATTTTTTTGTATATGTGTGGCCCGTCGTATATACATAGATGTGATGGAGAATTAGTGCTGTACATGCTGCTATGGCGGTGTGTCCACTCACAAGATGTGTGGCGCTGCCCAATAAAATCTCCCCTCGGGGCAAAATTGAAAAAATGGAAAAATGGTGGAATTTTGTAATTAGCATTCTCTATAGTCTGGCAAAAATAAAGCTAAAATCTCAGCTTGAATATTCCTAGGCCTCAGATACCATGTATTAGGCCTAGGATGGTTAGGTTGAGTTTTATTTACATAAATTCTAAATCTTTTCCGTTTTGTCTCAATTCAATAGTACTAAATTTCAACCTTCTAATAGTCCATTACGTCAATATATGTACTATATTGTTGTACAATATATGTACTATATTGTTGTACAATATATGTACTATGAAGTGCTAGAATAGACAGTTTTCTTCAAATAAATTATATCACACAATAAAAGAGAAAATACATTGAAATGTATTATGAACATTCAATGTAAAGAATGCACAACAAAATATTAAAATTGTATCAGAAATTCTATGTATTAATATTTTGTTAAACTAAGTAATTTAGAAGCTAATATCTGTTTAATTTTTTAAATACTAACATAAAACTACGTACTTTATAGATGAATAATATATCTATTATAAGGGAGGATTTCGATAGATCGCATAAATCAATATTCGGTTTATGAGTTCAATATTTACTTAACTTCAGTTTTAATGGAAATTTTTAAAGATATATTATTATTTTGACGTGAAAATTGCGTACAAACGGTTGTTAAAATTAGAATTTGATTGATTGAAGTATTAATGATTAATTGACGTTTGATTGATTTAAGAAGCTAATGAAAGTAAGGTTATTAACTTTGTTATCACTTGTGTCCACCACGACCGATAAACTGCGCCATAACTGGACACCTGAGCAGCCGCACGTACCAACAGCTTAGTGAATCATTATTGTCCACTTGTACTGATGTTGGAGTGTTAAGACTGTCCCTTTGTATGTCTGTTTGATTCTATTTTCTCTCTCTCTCTCTCTCTCTCTCTCTCTCTCTCTCTCTCTCTCTCTCTCTCTCTCTCTCTCTCTCTCTCTTGTAGAGTCGAGCCTCTGTTCTTAAGCTCCGACTTGTAATTTGTTCACTTAAGTGGCTATTTAATTTTAACTTGTTTTACTAATTACATATACATTTAACACGGTGTATTGAAGTGTATGCTTACATAGACACACCTGCTGGGGTCGACCAGTGGCTCCTGGGTCCCGGCTCTCGAGCATTTAGCTTAATACAATCACTCTTTGTACTTATATCTGTACTTACACGACATAAACAACTTTCTCCTAACATTCTCGTTCGTCTCCAGATCTCAACGCTGTTCACTCGTTCTACAGTTCCTAGGTTTGAATAATTTAGCCAGTTCATCTTAGAATCTCGTATGTCGTTATCATGTTCCCCCGATCCCTTCTCACTCCCCAGTGTGGTGGGTTTCCTCGTAGCTCAAACCCTTCAGCTCCGGAATCATTTTTGGACCATAGCATCCTTTCCACCTTTGTCTCGTTGTATTTCAGGCTTGTGTTCCAGGCCTGGTCTGCATACTCAAGAACCCAAAACCCACCAAACCCCATTAAATCCTCCCCAAGACCATTTAAAACATCCTAAATCATCTAAGAACCCTCTAAAATCCTCCCACAGACCTTCCCTAACATCCTAAATCCTCCCACAGACCTTCCCAAACATCCTAAATCCTCCCACAGACCTTCCCAAACATCCTAAATCCTTCCACAGACCTTCCCAAACATCCTAAATCCTCCCCCAGATCTTCCCAAACATCCTAAATCCTCCCCAAGCCTCCTAGAACCCACCAAACCCCATTAAATCCTCCTCTAGGCCATTTAAAACATCCTAAATCATCTCAGAACCCTCTAAAATCCTCTAAATCCTTCGCCAGACCTTCCCAAACATACTAAATCCTCCCTGACAATCCTAGAATCCCCCCTCCTGGAATACCCCCCCCCCATAACCCCAGTGCCGCCCCCCCCCTGACCACCCCGCACCCCCGGGGGAACACACAAGCCTCGTTACTGGCACTCCTCCAGCAGCTGGCAGACACTGATTACACAGAGTGCCTGGCACTTCGTTTAATCGAGACACCCATTAATCCGGACGCTAATCAAGGGACATCGTTCGCTTCCCACCGCTGGTTAAGAGGCCTGTTTATCCGAGCATTACAATATCCAATCGATCGCTCTGATAAACTTGGTTTGTGAGTGGACACTGGTTAATACAAGTCCTGCACATAATAGGAACACTTTAACAAGTGTGGTCGTTTAATCGAGGCTTCCTTTAGTAGGGACATCGTTTAATTAGGACGTTAGATTATTAGGTAATTGTTTGATCAGTTTAACTGGTATACCTCGATTCAGTGATGGTTAATTGGAGCTTCGGTTAAATAGAACTCCGACAAACCTCTTTAGTATTTCATGACTCAATACACAAAACTTTCCAACTGTATTTAATAAAATATACTTTCCAATGGCATTAATACATTAAATACTTTCCAACAGTATTTTATACGCAAAATACACTTTCCAACAGTATTTTATACACAAAATACACTTTCCAACAGTATTTTATACAGAAAATACACTTTCCAACAGTATTTTATACGCAAAATACACTTTCCAACAGTATTTTATACAGAAAATACACTTTCCAACAGTATTTTATACGCAAAATACACTTTCCAACAGTATTTTATACAGAAAATACACTTTCCAACAGTATTTTATACAGAAAATACACTTTCCAACAGTATTTTATACACAAAATACACTTTCCAACAGTATTTTATACAGAAAATACACTTTCCAACAGTATTTTATACGCAAAATACACTTTCCAACAGTATTTTTTACGCAAAATACACTTTCCAACAGTATTTTATACAGAAAATACACTTTCCAACAGTATTTTATACGCAAAATACACTTTCCAACAGTATTTTTTACGCAAAATACACTTTCCAACAGTATTTTATACAGAAAATACACTTTCCAACAGTATTTTATACGCAAAATACACTTTCCAACAGTATTTTTTACGCAAAATACACTTTCCAACAGTATTTTATACAGAAAATACACTTTCCAACAGTATTTTATACGCAAAATACACTTTCCAACAGTATTTTATACACAAAATACACTTTACAACGGTAATTTTTACACAAAACTTCGAGGCCCTGTAACAAGGTCATCCTGGGAGCTATATAACGACTGTGTCTGGGAATGGTTTGTTAAAGGCGGGTGTAAGGTGTGGGGCGGGGTGAGGTGTGGGGCGGGGTGAGGTGTGGGCGGGGTAAGGTGTGGGGCGGTGTGAGGTGT